TCAATTATGACAAAGGAAACAGATCATGAATAGTATTAGGTTAATCTCCATGGAATTCCTAATGTTTATATATTTTATAAATATTGTATTTGTTGTGTCTTCACTCTATCAAAACCCATGTTAAACTTGAGACCTCAGCCGGATTCTAATCTGAAACAACACCATTGGCTGAAGCAATGTCTGTAACCAATAAAATGTAAGAGTCTGTGCTGGAGGGAAGACCAATGATTGGATGTTATCTTAACAATGTGATTGGATGCTAACTTTGTAAGGGCGTGGCTACACCAGCCCGGGAGAGTTTAAAAGGAGCTATGCTCCACTGTTGTTGTTGTCGTATCGTCTGATGCTGTGTGATCTTTGGAAGTTCTCGTTCTCAATAAAGCTGATTCACTTTGTTACTTACTTCGTTGTTGAGTTGCATACTTAACAGAATTATTACAATGACTTCATATATATCCACTGACTATTACCTGGAAATCATTGAGGTTTCTTAATAGGAGTCCGTGCGGTAGTCTTAAAGTGGCTCACCTCATTTCTCCAAGGGCAGGGATAGAGGACCGAGCTAGGGGAGAGGGTGTCAACTAGGTACCCCTTAATATGTGGGGTCCCTCAAGGTGCAATCCTCTCTCCAGTGTTGTTTAACATCTATATGCACCCACTTGCCCAGCTGGTGTGGAATTTCAGGGTAGGGTGTAACCATTATGCTGATGACACCCAGATGTATCTGTTGATGGGCAGCTGTCCAGACACCGTCCCACAAAACCTGGGCAAGGGGCTGGAAGCCATGGTAGGATGGCTGAAAAAGAGTTGGCTGAGACTAAATCCAACCAAGATGGAGGTTCTGTGGCTGGGTGGGTGGGACTGTGGTGCCAACTTCCTACTCTTGATGGTGTGCCCTTAATACCAGCACAAACTGTCAGGATTTTAGGCGTGGTTCTGGATGCCTCCTCATCAGTGGAGGCCCAGATCACGAATGTTGCCAAGGTAACATTTCTCCAGCTAAGCTAGGTGAGGAAACTAGCCCCCTTCCTGTCTCCCCCTGACCTAGCCACATGCAACAGTCACCTCCATATTAGACTACTGTAACTCACTTTACGCTGGCCTACCCTTTAGACTGAGCTGGAAACTCCATCTGGTCCAGAATGCAGCAGAGTGGGTCCTGACGGGAACATCATGGACAGCACATATTCAGCTTGTGCTGCATCAGCTGCACTGGCTCCTGGTGAAGTACAGATTCAGGTTCAAGGTTTTGTTATTGACCTTCAAGGTCTTGAGCGGTCTGGGACCCACATATCTTCAGGACCGCCTCCTCAGATATGTCCCCCAAAGAGCTTTATGCTCTGCAGAGAACAACTTACTGGTGATCCCCAGCCCAAAAGACATCTGGCTGTCCTTGACCAGACTGTCCTCCTACTTGGTGGAACTCTCTGCTGAATAACATCCATGTCCTGCAAGACCTAATACAGTTCTGCAGGGCTTGCAAGGCAGAGACGTTCCGCCAGGCTTTCGGTTGAAGACAGTGACTTGTCTGATACTCCCTTCCCCCTTTCATTTGCTTCCTCTCTACCTCTCTGTGAGACAGTGACATAATCTTGGAACTTGGAAGTTTTAGCACCATTGGAGACTTTTTTAGTCATTTATTGTATTATCAGAATTGTTTTAATGTATGGTTTTTACTGTTGTACTCAAAGGAAGGCAGTCTATAAATTTAAATTATAAATACTATAAATATAAGATAATCTAACTATAAAGAAAACCAATATTGTATTGGATATGAATATATATATATATATATATATATATGTAAAAACATTATGTGTCTAGTAAAACATTCATATATATGTTCTGATATATGTAATCAGTAAAAACATTTAGTATACACATACACACACTCTCTAATACATGTAATTATTATTAAATCCTTTCAACAATTCTGTTTCCAGGTGACAAATCTGTTACCTCTGGCATTTATTTCAGCTATTTTAGGGTCTTTATAACAGATATACTTAGCAGTTTTATGGAGTTATAAGTCAGATGGCAAACAGAGATAAAACAAAACAAACTGAAATGAACTTCAGTGTTGCTGGTTAGAGAAGCCATTTCCACTCAAAGGGAATGTGATGTCACCCATATCTAGTTCACACCAGTTTTGACAACGCTTTTAGCAACTGTGGTGCTTGGGTCCATAAAGGGGGCAGGTGTAGGACCAGATATTTTTCAATTACAGGATAAATCCAGAAACTGATGTCCTCAATTTCATTTTAAAACCTTTTTCAGCTGTAGATTATCTGAAGGTCCCAGGATGGGGTGGGGGGACAGGTGTAATGTGGTTTTGAAAACAATTTCAGCTTATGATGGTCAGATACTGTGGCTTAATGTTTAATATGCTAATTTGATTTCTTTGTAAGCAAAAACTTTAGTCACTGCAAGACTCAGGAGTCACTTCTATGACTTAATTTCCCCAAGTTAAAAGTACAGTTGAACACTGGAACTGCTAAACTGTACTGTGGCTTGATCAAAGAAAGACCAAATATGCTTGGGATCTTTTTCAAGTAGGAACATCATATTTCTATAATTTTTTTTCTAATGAACTCTTTTTTGCTAACTGCTGATAGAAATAATAAGTTTAGTTAAAATTTTCTGTTATTTATAGTTACTGGGTTGCATCCAGTATAAAGAACCCCAGTCTTCCTAACTCTCCCATCCCTGCCAGCAGCCATTTCCAACCCATGTGGGTCAGGAGACTGCAGTGGAGATGAAGTGTGGAAAGTCACTTCCTTCTGCTTCTCCTACAATGGAGCTCTGCTCACACAAGAGGCAGAAGGGAGACGTTTCATTCCTTTTCCCCACCCCACTCATGGGATTGTTATTCCACATACGGTTGGAGTCCTCAGGGAATAAGCTTTCTTGAAGTTAGAAACGGCTGCTGACAGAAGGGGAAACTCAGGAAGACATGACATGGATAAAGAGATCCAACCAATTCAATGTACTGCTTATGTTATTTTCGCATTACAGTAGTAGGTACATCCCTATAAACTCAACCAGTCTTGTGAGCAAATAAACTTTGGTTTGTAAGAAACTATTTGCATTTGTATATCTTGATATGGGCATCGATGGAATTTTGGCACACTTATTAAATTGTTCTGATTATTGTCATCATTCGCTGACCACACTGGAACACTTAGAAACTGATTTTGGTACACACTTTAAGCTTAGAAAGCAGAAAGTTTTAGGAAAAGCAAAGTATCCACAAAATAGGCAATGGCCAAATACCCATTTGTATACCCATTCTCCCTTGCCATTTTTCTGTCTTTTAATTTTGCCATTGGGGAGGCTGAAATATCTGAAGCACATTCTTGTTTAGTGTAATTAGTAGCATAAAGGGATACTGTAAAGAGAAGGCAGTGGGACTGTGTATCCTTAGAAAGTACCATCAATAACTGAATACAGATGGAGAAGCCCTATCACTCCTTGGCAAATAGAAAGGGAAGTCATGGAAGCAGTGACAGAATTCACATTCCTAGGATCCAAGATTACTGCAGACGGTGACTGCAGCCATGACATTAAAAGATGCCTGCTCCTTGGGAGGAAAGCGATGGCAACCCTAGACAGCATAATAAAAAGCAGAGACATCACCCTGCCAACAAAAGCCCATATGGTCAAAACGATGGTATTCCCAGTAGTCATGTATGGCTGCGAGTGTTGGACTATAAGGAAGGCCGAGCACCGAAGAATAGATTCTTTTGAACTATGGTGCTGGAGAAGACTCTTGAGAGTCCCTCGGACTGCAAGAAGATCAAATCAGTCAATCCTAAAAGAAATCAACCCTGACTGTTCCCTGGAAGGCCAGATACTGAAGCTGAAGCTCAAATACTTTGACCACCAAATGAGAAGGGAGCACTCACTGGAGAAGACCCTGATGCTGGGAATGATTGAAGGTAAAAAAAGAAGGGGATGACAAAGGATGAGATGGTTAGACAATGTTATCAATGTAACAAACATGAAACTGACAAACTCTGGAGGATGGTAGAAGACAGGAGGGCCTGGCGTGATGTGGTCCATGGGGTCGCGAAGAATTGGACTTGACTGTATGACTGAACAACAACAATGTGCTTCCCTGTCTGTGTGTGGAATGTTAAGAAGGCTAATACTATTGAACGATGTAGGATTTATGTATTCAAGTGTCACAAAAACTAAGTTTGTACAAAACCATACTTAAACCACATCCAAACCGTGATTTAGAATCCCAGTTTAGCATACAACATCAAACCACTGAGTGCGCTGCATCCAGACATCATACTAAACCAGAGTTTAATCAAACTGCAGTTTATCAAGGTATCAAAAAGCAGACTGCCTCTGTGTAATCTGCACTTGACAAAAGTAACCTAAATTCTATTCCAAGAGAAACTGGCTTCCAACATTCATATGTTTTGTGTACACATGTGCAAATTTACATTAACCAAACCTTCATTTATTTGCTTATTTTGCATAACTGATTCTCCTCCTAATTATGTAGAAACGCAAAGTACCACATACAGTACCAAAGCCTAGACTTTTACTGCTGGAAAGTCTCCTCAGTCCCCCTGCTGCTTCAGAAATTCTACTAAACATTACATACAGCTACTCCAACTTCTATTCACAAGTCATAACAAAAAGAAATTCTGAAGGCAAAACAAAATTGTATGTGGCATACATACAGTCCTGGATATAAAAGTACATTTGTTCTCCTGCTACTGCATTGCTCATTCTTTGGATTAACTTTAATGAATTTTATTGGTATAGCTGTATCAATCATGTGAAGTCTGGCCTTGCCTGAATTGGAATGGATTAGCTACCAAGTAAGCAAATATTTTAAGGTATATATCATGGAAATGAAGCAAAATATTGCTATGCTAACTTAGGTGTTTCCACCTTAAGTAAACATGGTTCAACCTTGCCTCAGAAACATTTTTTGGATTAAAAATTAAATCTGTAGGTCACCAATATTTGAACAGACCTACCGGATTCCTTTTTGCTGGCCTTTGCGCCATCTCTGCTCTTCTTCAGAACTGCTTTTAACATTTTAACACTGTTCTTTTCCCTTTAAAAAAAGAAGAAGAGGGATAACAGTTTTAAATGATTGTTCATATAAAAGGATACTTGCACAGGCAATTTTTTTGCACAAGTGAAAATAAACCAGATAATAGAAGATTAATTCAAAACACACTGAGGGGTTTACTTCTATTTTTACATGACTTTGTTGTATTTGCTAAAGCACATACTGAAGCTACAAGGAATGTTTTAATACCAGAACCAAGTAGCTCAAGGTTTACTGTCTTGTTAAAAAGAAAAACAGCACAGGGCATTCTCTACATTCCACATATAATTAAGGTTATGAGGCTAAACCTGGATAAATTACTGTTAGGCACTCTGGGCACAAGATTGTCTGGCTTTTGACCAGAGTTTATCAAGACAGGAAAATTTAAGCACAAGCTACAACTCCGTAGTATCTATCATGAATTAACAGAAGCCTGGGCAAGCAACAATGGAATGACCACTGGAAGAAATATGCTTTAATACATTTTAAAACTCCTGCCTAAAACTGAAAGAACCACCTTTATGGAGTATAACAAAGACACTTAAAAATTTCCCCAAAATGATGCTCTTTCAAAAGAAAAAAATGTTTCCTGCAGGGCCTCCCAATCATGTTTCTCCAGATTCATACCATACACCCTATACAGGTAACACAGTCTGAATCCAGCTTTGTTTTTGTTTTTTGAACTACCATAGTTAGTTGGCAGCCTGGTAGGCATTTAAAGCTCCATCTGAGGCTTTAAAAAAATTATTGTGCCGGGCAATTTAAAATTAAAGTACATTAAAATGAAAATAAGCTTCCCTTCCCCTCTGGAATAGTAAGGCATCATCTACAGACTATCATTACTTTTCATCTACTTCTCCAGCAAAATCAGGTGGTAGAATCTGAGAAAGGGGATAAAAACATTTCAGACTGCAAGTGAGGGAAGCAATTTTTTGCAAATGCACTCCCCATTGTGTTTTAAAAAACACAAATACTGTCCTGGTAATATAAAATAAAATAAAAAACAGAAAAAGGTTTTACTCCAACACTGCTGTACAGTATTTCTACTTGCAATAAGATTTAGAAAAGTAACATGCACACAGGAAACATCAAAAATAGTCTTCCTACCCTGTAGTCTGAAGTAGCTCAGTACATTATACCTGCTGTATAGTTACAGTGTCAGACAAGGATCCACAAGACCCAGATCTGAATCCTGACTCTATCATGGAGGGTGACCATAGGTGACTTACTCTCAGCCTAACCTACCTCAAATAAGATTTACTGCATGTGAAAACCAGATATAGGGTTGGACCAGACTAAATTTTCCAATGGTAGAATTAAATCTTCCTGTCTCCCCACTTCCACCACAGCCCACTGATCTTCACACTAGGGAATAGATGACCCTAATGACCAACATGAGAGGAGTTCACAACAGGAAGGGGAAACTGGTAGAAACAGCCAGTTTACCGTCTGGGTCCAACATATAGTTCTACAGCAGGGGTCCACAACCTTTTTCAGCCTGCAGGCACCTCGGGATTTCTGACACAGGGTGATGGGCAGAGTCACAAAATGGCTATCACAGGAGGTGGAGCCATACATACAAGCAGAAGAAGTCCAAGAGCAGAGGAGAAGGGCACTTAAAAAAAAAAAACAGTGGGAAAGTGTAGTGAAAGACAGAATAAAACCAATACTGGCAACAGCTGCTACTGAAGCAACATTATTTTAATCTTCACAGCCAATCAGACTGCCCAATAGCCTATCAGAAAATGTGCTGGACAAACGTTACCACATGGCTCCACCCACTTTCTGTAAAAAATCGGCAGGCACCAGGTAAAGTGCTGGTGGGCCCCACGGCCCCCACGGGAACCACACTGGGGACCTCTGGTCTATAGAGACCAAGTGTCCAAAGCGCTGCCTAAGATTCTTCACTATACCCTGACTTGCTTAGTTATCCTTCAGCCCACTTAATCCCCCCCTCAATTACAATGTTTCTGTTTTCACTTGCCTCAACTAAGTCATGTCTTCGGGTTTTCATTCTTCTCTGACCTAAAGGTAAAGGGTCCCTTGCTCGAAAGCCAGTCGAATCCGACTCTAGGGTGCGGTGCTCATCTCCGTTTCAAAGCCGAAGAGCCAACGTTGTCCGAAGATGTTTCCGTGGTCATGTGGCCGGCATGATTAAACACCAAGGCGCACGGAACACTGTTATCTTCCCACAGAAGTGGTACCTATTTATCTACTTGCAATTCCTTGCTTTCGAACTGCTAGGTTGGCAGGAGCTGGAACTAGAGATGGGAGCTCACTCCATCATGCGGCACCCGGGTCTCGAACTGCTGAACTACTGCCCTTCCACAGCCTGCAGTTCAGCATCTTAACCACTTGAGCCACCGCAGCTCCTATTTCTCTGACCTAGAGCTCTTTAATTAAACCTTGCCCTAACCACACATCTGGCGTGGTTCTTTAATAACTCTCAGTCTTTAGAACAAATTTAGAGTCCACCTTTAAGACCAACAAAGGTTTATTCAAAAAATGAACTTTCACGTGCAAGGCACACTTTTTCAAGATCCTTAGATCTTGGATCTCTTTAAACAGGGACACCAGAGAGCCTGCGACTAAGCTTGCAGAACTCATGAACACATGAAGCTGCCTTATACTGAATCAGACCTTTGGTCTATCAAAGTATTGTCTACTCAGACCGGCAGCAGCTCTCCAGGGTCTCAGGCTAAGGTACTTCACATCACCTCCTACCTGATGCTTTTAACCAGAGACGCCCGGGATTGGACCTGGGACCATCTGCATGCCAAGCAGATGCTCTGTCAGTGAGCCACAGCCTCTCAGAATAGGGAATATCCAATTCTGTTCTGGAAGCATTCAAAGAGTGGAATAGGATAGAAGGAACATAATATTCCAAAACATGTGAAAGAGGAGGAGAGGCACTTATATGGCATATTAATAATAGTTAATAGAAACAATTGCCTTAATGTGCACTATCAGGCATTATTAATATGCATTTTGTGTGTGTGAAGTGCTGGTGGTTTTTAAGACCAGATGAACAGAGATGGTTTGCCATTGTCTGCCTCTGCATAGTTACCCTGGATTTCCTTGGTGGTCTCCCATCCATGTACTAACCAGGGCTGACCCTGCTTAGCTTCCAAGATCTGATGAGATCAGGCTAGCCTGGGCCATTCAGATTAGGTCACACAACGGCCATTAAGTACAACAAACTGAAACAACAGAGGACACACTTCTTATACGTTAGAAACCAGAAGAATAGGTATTTTTCCAAATCAGCACACAGAAAAATTACTATCCTTGGTTTAAAAAGGTGGGTGGGCAGCTTCTAAAACACACAAGCATATCCCTCCCTAGGGTGTTGGGCAGCCTTAATGGTTTCTTGAATTAATGTACGTTAACTATTACATTTCTGCAAAACCCATATTAGGCATACTAAATTATAAGTAGGATCAAATTGTTCCTCACAGGACTGTGCATACGCTTTCTATCCCAAAGAAGCAGCGGGCTTCTTTGATGTTTTCAGAGTCCCACAGCTGTGCAAGTACTGTAAGATCATGAGACAGCTGTGATTTATATCTCTTACATTCCAGCCAAAAACTACTAGGAGACTTCATTGTTGCTACTTCCTCTTACAAACACTGCCCTCTTAATCTCCATTGTTCTCTTTTCCATGTTCTCAAATCAGTGCTTTTGGATACAGCAGTTTTCATCTTAAGGGGAAACTCAAGGCCATTTTCAGAAACCAACACAACCGTTGGTTTTTGCATTTCCTACATATGGAATTCAAGTATAATGCCTTCAACAGGCGAAACAAATATTCAGTTTAAAAATGGATATCCTCGGTTTTCTAATGCACATTAACCAAGAGGAATATGAACAGTGTGCCAAAAGGGTCAAAGAAGCCCTTTCCTGTCATACATGGGGGGAAACCCAAGTTTTGTATTCACACTACACAGTATGAACTCTTATTTCTTGAGAATGGAAGCTCTGCTACGGACGATTCCTTCCACCTGAATTTGCATGCCATGCTGGCACAGTTCCTTCCACTACAAGTAATTATCACATGGTTCCAATGGACTTTTCAGGCACAAGTTACACTTTGTACATCCTTCTCAGTTCAGTCATAGACTGAGGATTAGAAGGATTGGGATACGATAGCACCACCATCCAGAAAAGTAACCGGGGGGGGGGGGGGGGCTGGAGCCTGTATAATCTTTGCGTTTTATTCAGTCTGCTTTATTAAACCAGAATGGTAAAAGCTTCCTCTCTTATTATCCAAAACCGGACAAAAGGGGAGGGGAGGGAGGAGTTTTTTGCTTCATGAGAATTAGCTCAGCTAATTCAAGAATTATAAACAACATACGAGGCAACAGAGATCACAGGAAACTTATCTTGCAAACCAACATTTCTCCCATTCCCTATGTACAGTTCTAGTTTGTTTCACTTATAAGCCACAAAAAGTTCACAGAAAAAAAGTTTATGGAAACAGGAAAATTGTACACATCCAGGACAGTCAAAACCTGGGGATCACATTGCACGGACTCTGTCAGTGCAACATATAGTTGACTGAAATACAGTATCATGGGTTCTACCTTAATCATATTTTTATGTTATCTGGCTTTGGGGGAAGATGATTAAGGAAAATCTACATGTTTAAAAGAATTGTTCTACCATTGTGCTATCAAGTCACAGCCAACTTATGGTGACTCTGTAAGGGTGTTCAAGGCAAGAGACAGACAGAGGCGATCTGTCGTTGCCTGCTTCTGTATAACAACTCCGCACTTCCTTGGTAGTCTCCCATCCAAGTACTAACCAGGGTCAACACTGCTTAGTTTTTGACATCAGGCTAGCCTGGGCCACGCAGATCAGGGCTGTAAAGAGCAAACCAATAAAGGGGATTTATGGCTATTATTCATTTGGTAAGTTTTAATCCTGCCCTTACTCCAATTTATTTATTTATTTTATATACCGCCCTCCCCGCGGGCGGGCTCAGGGCAGTTTACAACAATTTT